TCGAAAATGTTCGATGGTTGGGCAAAACAATGAAAAGATGTGAAGTAAGAGTCTTGGAAGGAGAGGGACATGGATTAATGGCCTCGGCTACAGTGATGGGTGGTGTCCTCATGGAAATCGCACGAGAATGGGAGGATTGGATTGAGATCACGGAGTCTACGAAAGGCGATGGAGAGAAAAGAGCTGTGAGAGAAAGAGCGAGTGTGGGTGCTTTTAGATGAGGAATACTGGGTGGTATGTATGCTTCTGAAGTGGCATGTTATGATTGATTAAGGGGATATACCCAGCGGAGACAAAAGTTGGATGGCGCTAGACAATTGATACATACAGGTATACTTTCCTTTGTCAAAGTTATTGGTGGGATGAGGTGGGAGTGATTTTTCTTTTGTTACGACTTGTACGATTACCATACATACCTATCTATGTAATATGCCCTCTAAATACTTAGCTTAATCCATAATAAGAATATAATAGATGACACACTTCAAGGATATGGATTGCAAAAACTTCTAGAACCCAGAAAGGAAATATGCATTAATTTGACAGTGCCGATGCCTGTCAAAGAATGTATCGGATCTCAAGAGTCAAGATGGGCTTCAAGACGGGGTTCGGATCTTCTAGAAGCTTGACGGCGGTGGATCTTGGTGATCAGTGGGGTTCCCCTTCATCTTTTCAAATACTTGTGAAACGAGATGATCTCAATGGTTTTGTTCTATATTGTACTCCATACACCAAAAAGGCTTCCTGTCAATCATGCTGGGCTTGTTAATTCGAAACCGTGCTCCCATGTTTGCCGATGACATTTAAAGAGCTAAATACGAATCAAGGCCCGCTAGATCTTCATTAGCCAGGGGTACATGACCCTTCGTACCTTTGCTCTGTACCCGACCAGGTGAGCATCCGAGGAAAAGCGGCGGGGGAAAGAACTTCTTTTAGAATGGATCAAAACGGTTTATTGAATATCAAGGTCGGATGGGAATGGAGATTGGATTTTGATTCGTAATTATGGATGCCACGAATTATGGGGTATCTGCAGAGCACCTAAGAGGGGAGAAGGATGAGTCTAGTGTAAGGTTATGTAAAGAGGTGTGAGAGATGAGCATCGTGTGACCTTTGGCTCTTCTACCACAATCATGATTCTTACCTTGTATCTTCCTTAGGAACCTGAAAGATTAATCAGACGTTGGTGAAAGAAAAGTGACAACCAATTGTGAAGTTTGATACATGATAAGGTTTAGGAAGGGATCGCAATCTATCTAGGGACCACCACCAACTAATAATAACAAGTGGAGCGAAGCTTGAAACGGGAAATATTGGATCTTCGAGAATCCATCTATTTACTAGCTAGGTACAGTACAGGTGGTGCACCTACGACGCGAGCAGATAATAATTATTAAATCACAATTTATTTGTGGACACAAAAGGACGAAACGATACGTGGTGTGAAAGATCCGGATTATCGGCATAGTATCTATTGCGATTGAATTGCGATTGGCATTGGCATCAGCATTGGCATTGGCATTGGCATTGGGGTTGACAGGTGGTTTCTTAAGACGATTTATTGCAGACCTGAGCGCTTTGAAATCCATACGAAACAATTACCTCGTACGCCGTTGCGAAAACTTGCAGATTCTGCAGTGCTCTTGATTAAAGGAGGAAAGGGTCAACGAGAAAAGAAACAGAGAGCAATCAAGCAAGTTCGCAAAAACTCACAAGTCTCAACGTACCTACCTGGTACTACCACTATCGTGCAAATTACGATAAACATCCAGCACAGCACAGCACAGCATTCGCAGTAGAAATGGGAAAGTACTACGCAGCTAGTGAGTTTCTCTCTTCGTCTCTCAATTCCTTGGGAGCAATTACCAACGACTAACCACTTCTACCCGCCCCGATAGATCCTCCTTACTACAAGGAAAAGCCCACCAAAATGGCTTCCATGCGACGTGTGAAAGTCTTCGGCCTTTTCGTCTTCATCGCCGTCATATCACTCCTCTTCTATACTTCCTCTCTTCGCCAACAGCGCAATCTCGTCAAATCCGACTCAGGAGATTTCTACAGCAAGACCATGAATGGATTGGGAAAACAAGAAGTGGCAGCTGCAGGAAGCCGAAACGACGAAGATGAGAAAGTCGCAAAAGAAATGCAACAAAGATTAAAAGATGCGGCGGATAAAGCAAAAGACAATGCGAATGCGAAAGCTTTTAAACCTGATCCACCATCGCAGGTTGTAGGGAAGGGGAATGCGGCAGAGGGACAGGGTGGTGAGAGGAGTGTTGCGGGACGGAAGAAAATGGGTGATAAGGCGCAGGAAGTTGTTAAGGAGGGTGAGAAGGAAGAGGAGGAAGAAGAAGATATGGAGGTCACGACGGAATTGAATACTATTTTGAAGAAATCGCCGAGTGAGTTTCCCTTTTCTTTTCTTTTTTTCTCTAATTATTCGCATCCCTATTATATTCTATGATGGAATGTCCTTCATATTAGAGAACGCAATCAACTAACTACTCGAGTAGTAATCATTTTCTCCAAATCTTACTGTCCGCACTCCAAGCGCGCAAAGGATATCCTCCTCGAGAAATACACAATCGATCCGCTCCCATACGTGGTGGAATTAGATAAACATCCTCTGGGAGGAAAGTTACAAGGGAGATTATATCAACTTACGGGAAGAAGAACAGTTCCCAATGTGTTGGTTAATGGGGTCAGTATCGGAGGTGGTGATGATGTGGCCGAATTGGATGGAAAAGGAACGTTAGTAGAAAAGGTGAAGGATTTGGGTGGGAAGAAAATTCTGAGTGTCAAGGCTAATTAAAGAGGGGAGAAGGAAAAAATGGGAATGAGGAGCTCGAAAAAGACAGATGTTCAGGTCATTACTACACAGGCATCTTGTGTATACAGACTATAAGAGATAGCACGCAGAATAATCCTTTAATAGCGTTCTAATTTCGTTCTGTTGGGAATCGGAATCAAGCTTGTGTTGTCGTGTCTTCGTTCGGATCAATTGACAGGCGCATTTCCTTTTGTTATTCTTTTCACACGTATATATCTTATAGAGAAATGGATATTTTTCTCGTCGAGAAGTTGGTTTCATTATGTTCAGTTAATGAACTGAAATTCTGGATGTCTAGAGTAGGGCGGTGGTACGTTTTTCTTGAGACGATGGCCATGATGGCGGTGATGACGACGGTACTGCTCATAATTAGAATTTCGGGTTTGCATTCTGGGTAGAATACCACCGAAGTCGAGAGGAAAGGGTTAAGAAGGGTCGGGGAATTTGCATACTAGGGGATAGGGTGTAGGTGATAGGGGATTGAAAGAAGGTAGGTAGGTAGGTGATGTTCTAGATTGATCGGTTAGGCGGGAACTAAGGGAATAGGGGACTAGGCAGGGTGCCAGGGGGGGTAGGAGAAGGTATCCAGAAGGTGAATTTGGAGAGCTAAGGATGGCAGGGTAGGAGGGGTGTTGAACTGTATCAGCTTTTAGGTTGTGATAGGGAAGGGGAGGGTGACGGGAGGCCGATGTGGAGAGGGAGAAAAAGAAAAAATCGGTTGTGTGTTTGAAAGACGTGCCATGCTAGGAAATCATCATGCCAAGGGTTTTGCGGATGGCTTTTATGTGTCGTTATGATTTCTACTACCTTAGATTGCATGTTTGTACAATGATTCATAATTCTAGGCAAGTATTGTGTTAGTGATATATTTCGAAGCCGTTGAATACTAAGAGAAGGGGTCTGAATGGAGGGGGAAGCGTCCCGCCCCCTCCTCCGATAGCTAGTAGAAGAAGCTAAAATCCACAGCTGAAGAAAAGAAAAGAAAAAATGACAGAACAAATTTGTAAGACAATCTCTGAAATATATGTAACGTATGCCAATGTATTTGGATCGTTGATGAAATGGGGCGGGATGAATTGAGGGGTAGATGGATTGATGGAGGTCGATAGGTATATGTATTGACTAATTGTTCGCTTGGCAAATTTGACGGACTTGGGTAGATCTTAGATCTTCCAACTTTATTCTCATCAATGTCTTGATTCAGAGTTGACATGACAGCCACATGATCTAGATAGAGACTTAACGCTTGGAAATTGAGAATTGATAATCAGATGGATGATGAGTAATTAACCAAGCTTCACACTTTCGATTTCATCTCTCATCGATTTCGCAATCCCGTGCGGAGTCCGGAGAATTATCATACGTACCTAGTAGGTACAGTAGTGATGCATTCATTCCTTCATGGTGCTCAGACGTTGGCGAGTGCCAAGCAAGAGTTTTGCACAAGGAAAAAGTCATCTACGTCAGTGATTTAGGTTTTTCATAAGCTTTTTCCACTGATCGGCATGGGTTCATCGTGCATGCTTATATTTTGCCCATCTAATTTTTGATGGATATCGAGAGAATGGCACAAATCGATATCGAGGCGATTGGTTTGTTGGAGTGAATGGTATCGGACATGTTTGTCCGGCAGATCTTGAATTTGGCTGATTCGAGCTTCTGGGTTGGATCTTTGGGTACGCACTTTGGATCTTGGGTTTTAGGCTTTCGGGTTTGGTTTGGAGAGGGTAGATCCCACTGGGGAATGGGCTGGAGCCTGGAGCCTCGATCTCGCTGCACCGGTGTGAGTAAAAAGATAAGAGGAGCTAGATTTTTTCTAGTAGGCCGGTGCGGTGACTGATAGGAAGTATGATATCATATGGACTGGTGAGAAAGGTCAAGAAGAGTGCATTTGGAATAAAGCTCAATGGAGAAGTTATATTTCCGTTTGTTGAAGCATTTATATTTGTATTTGCCTCCTTATAATTTATTTTTCTACTCCATATATATCTATTCAATGCTCATGTTTTGACATACTTGTTGTTGGATATACTGTTGATAGTCTCCTCCTTCCATTCTCGATATACTTGAAAGGTCGATTCGTTTCAAGAATCTTCACATATTTTTTGGGGATACGAAATTGATTCGACACGATAGCATTTCTTCTCTCGATTGACATCGAACAGTTAGAATGAGGGAACTCTTTCGAGATGCAACGGCGGGGAAAATATTACGTCTAATATCAGGCGACAAATTTCTAAAGTATCCAGAGGAACAAGACACAGACAGTGAAAAGGGAAATCCAGACACATGGAGAAGATATTTAAATGTACAGAAGACTCGAAACGTGAGACATCATGGTACTTGCGAGGAATCTGAGGATGAGGGAGTCTCTGAGGAAGATAAGGAAGTTGATAATGCTGATCAACGCAGAGATCGAAGGCAGGGAAGTAGGCCTTCAAATACGACCCTAGGCTCAGACAGCACGAGAGTGGCAAATGAGGATACTGTGAGAACGGATAATGGAGGGAAAGATGTTCAAATCATTGATTGGGTTCAAACGGAGGGAGTCATTGATTCAGAGGTATGTAGTTGGAGCCCTTGGAGATATTTCATGCACTCAAGCATGCGGTCTTATATGTCCCTTGTAACATTGACTAATTTCCATAACAGAACCCACAAAATTGGTCGACGAGAAAAAAGTTCTTCGTTACTTTCCTCATCTGTTTACTGACTTTCTCTGTCTATATTGGATCGGCTATCTATTCCGCAGGTATCACAGATGTGATGCAACAGTTCGGAGTCAGTCAAGTTGCCGCGACAGCTGGTCTCACTTTATTCGTTGCGGGCTATGGTCTAGGACCCATGATCTGGTCTCCCATGAGTGAAATACCTCAAGTTGGACGAAATCCTGTTTATATCGCAACGTTGGTTGTATTTGTGGTGTTCCAATTCGGTGTCATATATGCGAAGAATTTCGCTATGATGCTTATCTTTCGATTCTTGACTGGATTCTTTGGGTCGCCGGTGTTGGCTACTGGTGGTGCCTCGTTGGCTGATATGTATGCGCCCAAAAAGAGAGCTTATGCAATTGGAATTTGGGGTATGGCTGCTGTTTCTGGTCCTGTGGTATGTCTCTTTTCGTCACTTCGTCTCAATTTTTGATTACTGACAAACTTATCAGTTGGGTCCTTTGGTTGGAGGGTTTGCCGCCGAAAGTAAAGGTTGGACTTGGACAATTTGGGAGTTAACATGGTTATCCGGTGAGTTTAATCACTTTCTTGAAAATTTGATACATTCTGGGTGTCATAGTCCTGTTTGCATTCGATATTCAAGATCACTGCGTACATTTTTCCGGATAGGCTTATACTAATAACGTCTGCAGGATTCGCACTGATCGTCTTATTCCTCCTCTTGCCTGAGACGAGTTCCGCCAATATTCTGTATCGTCGGCGTCGACGTCTCGAAAAGTCTTGTGGTGTTAACAATCTCAAATCCGAACCAGAACTCGAAGCGGATGAGATGACCACCAAAGACAAGATTAACATGGCGCTCATCCTCCCATTCTCACTCACCTTCTCCGAACCCATTCTCTTCTGTCTCAATCTCTACATTGCACTGATTTACGGTCTTCTATACGTTTGGTTCGAATCATTCGCCATCGTCTTTGTCGAGATTCACGGCTTCAGTTTGGGGAAAGAGGGATTAGCTTTCTTGGGTATTTTCGTCGGATCTGTCGCGGTTATCCCGCCATTTTTCTGGTATCTCTACAAATTCCAAGAACCAAAGTTTGACGAAAGTGGAAATATCAAACCGGAGATTAGATTGCAACCGGCGTTTGTCGGAGCCTTCTGTATCCCTATCTGTTTGTTCTGGTTCGGATGGACAAGTAAAGAAAGTAATCATGTATGTTTCCCCTCCTCATATCCCTAGAACTAAACTAACCCAACCCAGTGGATCGTCCCCATCATCGGCTCCGCCTTTTTCTCCATCGGTGCCTTCCTCCTCTTCAACTCCGTCCTCAACTACATCGGCGACGCATATCCCAAAGTCGCCGCATCCGCCTTTGCAGGAAACGATTTCATGCGCTCGTGTTTCGGCGCCGGCTTCCCCCTCTTTGCTAATGCGATGTTCAAGAATTTGGGAGTGCCGTGGGCGAGTTCCACGTTGGCGTTTATTAGTGTGGCGTTTATACCGATTCCGTTTGTTTTGTATAGGTGGGGTGAGAAGATTAGGATGAAGAGTAAGAGGGCGAGACATGATATTTAGAGGGGGTGAGGATTGATTGGGTGGTGTTGATAAAGTGGTTGTAATTAAAATTGTATTAATGTTTATAGACAAATAGATACTGGGATTGTCCGGTATGTCTGTTGATGAAGAGTATGAGATTCTATTCGGTAGGGGGTGGGTATGGATTATGTAGTTAAAAGTTAAATATTAACGACGAGATGAGTTCAATACAAAGTTTTAATATCTTTACAATCATACACATTTAGCACTTACATGGGCTTTTATATATATGTATTTCTTTCATCAATCTACCACCATTTACTCTCCCCCCAAGAAGCAAAAACAAAAGAACAGAATTCACTCCTCAATACCTATCCAGGCATTCACCCATCTCCCCAACCTTCCCATCAGTACTTAAATACCAAGTATATATACTCCAACCTACCCGAAATTACTTTATGGATTAGTCAGCAAATAGGCGTCGTGACGGAGTGGTTGACGTGATTGACTCAAATTATTCTTCATTTTTCCCTGGACTCTGTGGGTTCAGGGTGTGAAGACCAAAATACGATATCAATTCCTTTCGGGGGCGCATGTTCGAATCATGCCGACGTCGAGGTTGATTTTTTGGAAGGCTTGGGAGGGGTTTTGGGAGGGGTTTTGGGAGGGTATAGAGGGGGAGGAAGGGGGAAGAAAGGCGAGGAAGATTGAGCGATTTGCTCTTTTGATATTTGCAAATATTTTATCTACCTCCCTTCCGTAGTTTAGATGATTGATGGAGGGGATTTGTGACTTATGTATGTATGCTTAGGTAGGCTAAAACATTTACATGCAATATTAATATTCCCATCGATTAACGACAGAAGCTCCAGAGACAATCTGATATTCCTTTGATGAGAGTCACACTAGATGTTGAGAGGGTGAAAGAATCTCCGCTGTGTATACTCTACTCTATACGATGTACGCTGGTGATTCAACGGTGGGCGGAGGATACTTTGGAGGTGGGTTGAGGTGGAGCGTTGGAGTGGGATGTTGGGGGTGGGTGGAATTTATGTTTATGCTTGCTTTTTTTTGACAGTAGGTTATCTAGGAACTAGATATGAATTGGAGAGAGAGTATGTGTGATGAGAGACGTGGATGTACAGTGTAGTAGATTGATTCCTGGTTTTGCAGATGTAGGATTGGGAGAAATACTATGGAGATAGGGGTGGCCTAAGCTCGCATGCTAAGTAGATCACGTGTGTTCATCCCGCACATAAAACTCTTTCCCTCGAGTGAAAATTTAAATCCCAAGTAGGAAGGAAGTGAGAAATGTTTCGTATTGGTCAATAGTGGAAGTTACATACAAATACTAACCTATCGGATTCGACTCAGCAGTAAATCCATGCAGACTTCAAACCAGCGGATGGCAATGAACTGCAGCCTCAGAATTCGATCTTAATCCCTCAGGCGCGAAGAAATTCCGACCGTGGGGCACGCGAGAAAATGTGTTTATATACTATAGCAACCACCCCTACTGATTAGACAGAAAGGCCAGATGGCGCAATGGCAGCGCATTGCTTTCCGGTGGCAAAGGTTGTGGGTTCGAGTCCCATTCTGGTCGGTTTTGTTTTGGAGATTTGGGGGGAATTTTTTGGGGAGTTGGGGTGAGAGTTTGAGAGGGGATTAGGGTGGAAGAGTGAATTTTGATGTTTTGGTTGGGCTGGGTTGGGTTTATGACTAAGCGGGTGATTTCGTCGCCTGAATAGGCGAGATGGTTGAAGGATATTTTTGGGGTGTGACTTATGAGACGAGACTGGGATTCTTTGAGAGTTCGGGATATATACTTATATATTTGTATCGTCTGAATAGGTTTGAGTCATATACATGTACTTCCAAACTATGTACCAGTTAGTTGATCTTACCGGAAAGAAACATTTATGGCACTCGTGGTGAACGCGAATTAGATGTAGCTACAGGGACCTCGCACTCAATGAAAAGCAAGGTATGAATTAGTACAATACAAATAGGGGCACGATTATTAGCACGTGGTCACATTGCTGTCAATTCTACAAAAATCACGTGCATCGGTATGGCATGGAAGCTGGACAGCATAATTCACATTTCCGCGTTTCTATTCCATCGACGACATTTAGGGTTAATGAAACTTCCGATTTGTCGTTTACGGAAACAACTTTTGGCAGTTGGAGAAGGCATTCTTGATAGCCATTCTTTCATTCGTCAAGCTTCTCAAATTTTGCACTATTGATGGAGTCAATCACGAATCTCGACCGTCAGTCAAGTGTCAATCTTAAGGTCTTCCACACGTTCGTTAATCCGCGGGTGGCTAATGAGTGAAGGATCAAGCAACCACTTTGAGCTCCAAAGTCTGAATCGGGTTGTGGATGAGAGGGTGAATGAATAGGGTTCTTGTCCAGATCTGTGGCTTATAACTTATAAGCCGCGCCAGTGAGCCGTTTTCACAGCAAAGAATGACTTGAGACATTGTTTTGATTATATTCCGAGTGTATCAAATCATTCTACAGTGGGTTATTATGAGTTTAGATCAAATATGTGATTGTGTATGTAGCCTACCTGCGAACTGGAGGGTGATTTTCGTGGGCTTTGCTCTGCAGCGAATATCTGGTAGGAACCTCGGGTATAACCTTAACAGCGATCATACAACACATAAGCTTGGAGTAGAGATTGTGCTAAAACCCAGTCTGAACCCCAGGCAAAGCTCCATATAGATATTTAGTTTTGACGAAACACATCATCGTCTACCTCGCTTAGAACTACTCTCAGCTCACAGCATGCACAGTTCTTGCGAAGTAACCTAGTTTTGCTCAATCGACGTGACCAGCGTGTTTGTTCGTCTTCGATCATTGAAATGGGTCGATTAGTTAGCAAGTGCTCAGCAAGTTCTCGTTTACTATATGCTCTATCTATTCTTCCAGTTAGACCGTTGCGATTAAGCAATGCGTTAGCGTTACCCGACTTATTACGAGCCAAGTGTTTGAGTCGCGCTTAACCCCTGATGCCATGCTGTGAGTATGGTGCTTCTGCAGCAGATTTCTGTCGCCAATCTTTTCATGCAGACACTTGCTCAATTGTTTTCTTACACCGAGCGGGAATATGAATGGAAAGTATCGGGAATCCCCCGAAGCTTCAATCTCGCCTCCCGTAACGATCAGCAATAGATATATAACGATAAATGAAAGATTCGCAACTCGATTATTGTTTGAACAATGTCATCATATTGGGAATAAATATAACTCAAACCTGTACTATACACTGATAGATACACTCGTGTTGAACTATGAGAGCACATATGAATATGAATCTCGTGTAAATATCAGTCCAAAATATCGTTTCCTAAACCTGATCCCTCCAACTGAGAACTAAATCCTCTTTGAATGATTCAACGACAGACTATCCAGCGGGAATCATCCGTATCCGTCCACGATTCACCAATTTCCTACTTATCTACTCAGGTGCATGTGCATCCCTGAAACTCCTCACATTTTGCCTTGCATCAGACGGTGTGTAGATCGTTCGGAAGCGTGCGGGCTCATATTGATTTACTTCAAGTCTAACCAAGAACCGGAGAGGAAATTTTGAATCTTGGGTAAACAGAAGTTGAACGGGCCTATCGGGAGCGATTATCGTTACGTCAAGGTGCTGAAACATGATAGTCTTATTGAGTGTAATTTCAACACTATTTGCTTTCGTCTGAGTTACTGTAAACATATCTGTTCCAGTAGCACGGATTTCCAGTCCGGGCAGAGGGGTAATCTCTAATTTGATCACTTCGCTTTGGAATGACTCCGCAAAAGTCAATTTTCCCTGGAAGGTATAAAAATCCTTAAAATAAGACCAGGCAGAGGAAAGACGATCAGCAACTGCCAATTGACTTTTCACATAGCTGTCTTTCAGAAAGCTTCCAATTTCTATGACGCGTATGTGCAAAAGAGCATCCGTAGAGCCTTCTTTGCGACTCTCTTGCCACTCCTTGAACGCCGCATTATATGCATCCGCGTCATCTGGGGACAAATGAGAAAGGGTGCCAGCTTTTCCGGGATCACCTCCAAGAACATTGCAATCGCTTTGTCGTTGTAACGTATATTGCTTGTACGACTCCGATTTCTTGACATCAACACTGACAGAACCTCCGATTGCACCTTGATACTCGGCTTTGATATTTGTTGAGAATTCCTCTTTCTTTTCTTCTGTTACTTCGTTCTGTTCCACTTTAAGCTGGTATCGTGTACCCATGTATGCTTCTTGTATCAGATGAGATCCATATCTAGAATAGAATTTGGCATACGAATTGTAGATGCGGGTCACTTCATCGAAATCTTTGAGATCCTTGGATATTGTCTTCCAAGTTGGGAGCTTAGCCGCTGCGTCAATGAATTCATCTTGTACTGAACCGTACATTGTCTGCTTGTTGATTACATTGATAGAGTAATTTTTCTGATCGAGACTGTATATGCCATACAAGCTTGTAGTTTTGAAATTCGTACTATATTCGTACCCCGCCCCAGCTTCAGCGGAGAATCCGGCATAATTAGCAGCTACTTTTGCATCGAATTTGAAATCACTGGCAAGTTCTGTTCCTGTTCGACAAATAAGGCTATGTGTCTCTGTCGTGGATCCCGTATCGTGTTTCTCGAAATTTTGAGGTAGCCAGTACTTCCTCGTTGATCCCGGAACTGTTATATCTTCTCCCGGTTCGGCGTATTTCAGGAAATTGTATTTATGATCTGACTCGAGTGTTGTAGACAAATCGAAGGGATCGACGCCTAAATCGATCAAGTTTAATATAGTTCTTGCGAATATGAAATAAACTTACCTTGGGGAAGCAAATTTACAGTATAACCAACTGTTGTGCAAATTGGGAGGAGTTCTCCGTGCTGGGAATCAATTTTGCTGTCCATTTTTCTGCAAGATTTGGATGGCTGATATTTTGAGAGATGCAATAGAAGAACGATTATCTAAAAGTCGTGACAGATAAAATGGATAACTGGAGAGAGAAAAGATAATTAACAAGAGCATACACCAGCTCTTATAGAATCCACCTCCAGGGGAGACACGCTACGTTGGTGTTGCATCTCTATTATGCAAAAGATTTTGAATTTGAATATGGCTGATGGATGTGTGTTACTATCGGAAAAACGGCAAGTTGGATCAGCAAGTACATACTAATAACAGACGGCACACAAGGCTCAAATTCAACCAGTCGGATATGAAAGTACACCCACAATAAGGGGATTGCCGGAAGATCTCGTGATACAGTGGGGGAAATATGTACATAGTACGTTGTACAAATATGCAGCCCGTCGCAAACGTGAAACTTGGCAGTCACTGATCCAGCTCGTCTGCAGGAAGCCACAACCGTCATTAATACCATAACAGCAGGTATGTTTAATACGGTTATAGAGATGTCATATCACCTAGTCCTTAGTTGTAATAAACTCGACTTACGAATGTCGGGATTATGTATCAATGCCAAGGTCCACAACAACATCTCCGCAATTTTGAGTAACCGATCTACAGGAAGATGGAAGCTGAAGCAATAATAGATAAAGTTCCATGGAAAGATCTCCCCGATGTACTGTCCTATTATCGTCATTCTGTTCCCCTTCATATGATCGTCTAACAAGAAGACAGCGAGGAGGCGAATCTTTCGTCTGCTCCAGCATCCATTACAGGAATGCCCAACACCCAAATGTCGTTACATGCTAGACTCTAATGCAGCTCTTTTTCTTTACGCAACTTCTCCCGTAGGATTCCCCCGCAGGTCGCACCAGGGCTGAACTGAGCGCTGATATGGATGCCCAACAAAGCCGGCCCTTGGCCTGCATTGGTTCTTCGACAACTGCAAGCGTCAATGATCTCCACTGGAAATGTATCAACAACGCAACAGTCTGCGCCCGTGTGATCATTAAAAGCTTTTCACTAGAGAAACTGCAGGTATTGCTATGGATGGAGGATAATCAGCATAGCATTAGTGAACTTTCTTATTGATAATGATCTAAAAACTTTGAGAGCATGAAATATAGTCTATTCGAGGGCACTAGCGCTAGCAGAATACAGAACCTGAGCAAAGATTGGTGTAACATATCTTCTCTTATGCATTTTCGCTAATATAGAAGCTACGTACCGTATTCATTTGGTAAATTAGGTTGTGCTAAGCAGGGATTGAAAAAATAAGGCTTCTATGGATCAGATTACGGAAAACGCCAGAGCTGTCTGATCTGTTCAAGCCCTGCTTAGCGCAACCCGATTTACCAGATGAATACGGTATTCTGCTTCAGCTAACCAGTGTTTTCCATCTGCTTGAATTAGGTGGATGTAGTTAAGTCATCAGCATAAAGCAGGACACTTGGTGAGAGGGCCAGCCTCATAGCAATCCTAACATAATGATTGCTTCATCCTGTTTATACTCAGCTCTTTAGACGGAATACAAGGTTGACAACTAGGACCTACAACGTAGACACTACGCCATGCGCATTTCTTTCAAACAAACAATATCATTCCAGAGGCTGAGAATGTAACGACCTCTGGCATTCTGATATCGAAATCTTCTCAACTCAAGATAATTTAATAAAAAAAAAGATAACTTGCTACAGGATCTAGATGCGCATTTCTCAGACCCATATGAAGCAATAAAACCTTTCCACCTCAAATAAACTTTAAAATCGCTGTCTATAACACCACAAGTCTCAGGGTATCTCTTCATGTACGAGTGAGTATATACTATATAGCTCGTATGCGCTCTGCATCCGTCTCTGTGTCCTCAACCAGCTCTTTCATGTCTGGGTATCTATCGCTCTTGCGTGTGGCATGCCCATTCTTACTTTCGCCCTTCTGTCCGCATTTCTAGCTACTTTGACAATCTGTCCACTGAATAGAGTCTTTCGTTCTTGTTACAGAGTCTTTGAAACCGGGATGGTCAAACTCATGTGCTTCGACAAAGGGTGCCCTTTCAAGGCCCCCCCGCAACAATCTCAGCAGTTTTGACATATTCCCGAACCGGGAGCTCAAGTTAATCCTCATCATGAGGGATTTACAGAGTTGGAAATTCTGCTTTTGTGATTCGGTATGTCAAATTTGAGGCAGAGTTGATTGATATAGAAATTGGGTATAGTAAGGGCGAGAACGGTTAGATCTCATACTTTGCTTTCAACACTAGACAAGCAGAGGAGAGTTAAAGAAATAGAATGAGATACTGGTTCTTGTTGTGTTGTTTGCATAAGAGAGCCAGTGGGTTAGACTATGCCCACTATCAATTTGAGTGGGGTTGACAGGAGTGAACGTATATTTGTGGTTATTTGATTTTAGAACATGTAAATCCGGCAGAAGAATAGCGCTCGTCAAAATTTTGCAATTGGAACTATTGATGAGTTGATCTCCCAAAAGCCTGGCGGTTGTTAACAACTTTCACAGAACTGAAATCTGCCACGACCATCAGGTAGATATGTCGTTATGACTCTGGTCTTTATCCACTACCAGGAACCACATCAGGACGCTGGTCCAACAAATTCTACAAAGGTGCAAATAGCTTCTTCTGAACCGCATCCCCATCACGAATCACCCCACTTCACTCAGCCCATCCTTCCAACACCCATCCAACCAATCCATTCCCACACCTCGCATTTCTCGAGGTCAAAACCCCACAGTAACCCACCATCATCAACAAGCTCACAAACCACATATAAGCTAATACGATGTTGATTATCATACGGCACATAATCATCAATCGCAGTAATATCCACTTCAGCTGAAGCATGAGTGAGCTATCAAATAATGATACGGTTGGCCTCAGGATACCATTCATTACCAATGTATTAAACATTACCTGAGAAACTCGATTGCAGAGAAAACATACATAGCTGTCATCTCAGCATGCCTACCAAACCTTCTCTCAGTGCTGTGTTTGGTACAATCGATTCTCGGGACAAGCCTAGCACCGAGCCCTCGAAGTGGTTAGAAGAATCAACTGGATCAACCAATTCAAAAGGAGGAAGTACACCGTTTTCCGGGATATACTATCGAAATTGAGTCTATGGAAGGTAGATATTGGACTACTTAAATTGTCGATTTATCATCTATGCATGAAGGAATATAGGTACATTATATGAGTCCATTATGGGTATTTAAGTATCGGAGTGCTCATCGACTTTATGGACTTGAGAATAGCTGATGCCAAATCATTGGTGAGAACAGGAGATTGGTCTGTATCAATATACCCTTTGAGAAAAATGTATGGAAAGAAATGAAGTGATGGAAAAGTCTATTTGGGTCTTTTCGAGGGATGGAAGGATCTTGTATCTGAGTAGCTTTATCAGACATGTCATTCTTGTAAATTACGGTGTGAAAGATTTAAATGTCAAGATAAAATGTAGTTTTATAAAAAAATCTAGTACGATTGAAATGACTGAAATCTAATCCAAAACCGTCAGAATATGCAAGATTTTACGTGCATATACTCTGAATGAAGAAAGAATGAGCAAGAGGGGCAGGTAGTTTCCCTTAGCAGCTCCTAACACTAATTAAACTTAGTGTAGAAATAACCTTTAGTAAAAAGATTATCTCGACTTCACTTCTCGAACATCTCAAAACTGAGAGATCTTTCGAGAAAGTTTTCGTATCTGATACTCAGGAAGCAATGATCCAAGAGCATTTATACAGGAATGCATCATAACACAAATGATAGTTTGCATTTCGAGACTTGAATCGAGACGGAACATCAAAGTTGCTTTCATTCGTCAAGTAATGCATGCATATGTCCCTGAGAGCTTCGAAGATTTGACTGCGATAGCTTTACATTTTCTTCAAAGCATTTGCAATATCCATTTTACATGATTTGGAAAGAGCTGATCTGGAATGATCGGATGGACAGGATTCCAATGTTTGCCTTCGTATGGCCCAAGAGAAAAGGGCAAAAAAGCGGGAAACAGAACAAGACACGGGCATCTTTTGACTATCGTGAAAACAGGAATTGAACTACAGATGTATGAGTATGAACACAGGAATCATGTCGAGATTTCTTCTTCATCTCAGTCAGTACTTTGTCTTTCCGTACTTGGGTTTGCAGGACCACATGTCAGAACCGCGTTGACTGACTCGATACCAAATACGCTGTACAAAATAAATACAAGTACACTTGTACCGCCATTAAACCAAACATTCCTCTTCAAATTCTTTAATCCTATGAATCTTCAGATGAAGTTTGTATACTCTTTCGCCCAACGACTCACTCTCGTTCATTTATCCATTCATGATTGCCTGGTGGTCAGAAACTCCGAGCATCGGCAGACGTGGCAAGTATCCACATCTCAAGCGACACAACGTTTGATCTTACGGAAGTAGTGTCTTGCATATAAGACTTATAGACCGAGTACTAGAGTAGTTATCCGATTTGGTACTTTGTTGTCAAAGGCACTCTTGTCATCTGTTGGTTGATGCAGGGACTCGAGAGTCAAGAGTCGAGACTGTGTTTCACATCTCGATGATGATGGCGTCAGGATTTGGATGGAGTGGATTCCCGTTGAGTGAGTGGACTTTTGACCCGTCGGGGTTTTCTTCGATTGTGCGTAGTAGGATTGCGTCGTGCATTTGTGCTAGATTTATTCTTTCGGATGATGGGGGAAATTTCCCGGGACATGAAGAAGAAAGTTTAGACTCTAGATTCCAGGTTCCAAGGAATGAAAATGTTTCGTAGATTAAAATCTCAAAATAGAGTAGGCTTAGAGGATAAAAAGCAGGTACTGAAAAGTTATCATTTGTGAAGTTGCTGGTACCTGACTGACCTGTGGTAACGCCATCGGTTCGGGTATCGGTGTGTAATCTTGTGGGGATATCAAAGTATCAAGGCATCAAAAGTGGATTAGGAAGGTGAAGGAGTCTTGAGTAGAAGGAGTATTTTCTATTCGGTGAGCTTCATTTTACCATCTCTCCATAAGATACTTCACCTACAATATGTACCTCCTTCTCCATCAAAACGTGAATGGGGGAGAATTAGATGTGAGTTGTAGTAAGATTCATTATGGTTCCTCTTTCACTTCTCTTACATGCATGAATATCTACACCTGGTAGACAATTAGATGGCATTTTTGAAAGCTTTGATACAATACTGACCGTGGCGAGTATCGTCTCGACTCTCGAGGTCGTTAACCGCTCTTTGATTCCCATTTTTGCCCAATTGTGATGAAATGTACCCAAATTTAGTTGCTTATCGCCTGATTGTTGCCCCGCTAGCGATAAACGTAAACAATTGCAAGTATCTTTTTTAACCGAATAGCTGCAGGTACCTTAAGTAGATAGAACATCTAATAAAGACTCAATCTTCACCAATCAATTCAAATAGATCTATAGTAATATTTACATCGAAAAAAAAAACTTCATCATTATATTCCACTTGAATCAGATCTGATCTCCATTCAAACCATACCTACGTGTGTACGAAATCAAGAAATACGAATATTCGCCTTGGTCCTTCTTAGTCCTTGGTAGGGAAAATCTGGGTGGTTGGGAAAACGGTCAATTAACTCCATCCCCAGCCCAGCTATTTTTTTCCCTTAAAGCCAAAAAAAAATATAGAATTCAGCCATCGACATTTTTGAATAAGTGGTATTGCACACCCACACTGTTTCTGTTACAGTTCCTTCTCTCTTCCATTCCTAAAGAGAAAGAAAAAAAGATTTCCATTCCAGAGATATACATACCATTCTTCTGGGCTATCGGCGACATTTTTCCTTGATCGATATCAATAATTGCTAGAGATAAGAATTTCTAGACATATTCACATTCGTTTGGATAGAAACCACCTTTCTTACGATTCGAGGATATACAAAGTAACATACCATACCACATCAGACATACCAGACATACCAGACATACCAGACATACCATACAATACCATACATATTACCTACAAGTGGTAGTGTCGACGAAAGTGGGGTTTGCATCTTTTGGATTGGCCATTTATCGTCGAGCTATTTTACTTCACACCGCTGCTGCATGTGAAGGAGTCATCGAGTTCCTGAAGATCTTTTTGCTGGTGGAAGAGCAAAAAAAAAAGTCTCAATACGTTGAGAGATCGATTTAATACATACCATCTTTTGGCCTTGTACAATCATTTGATTCGAGTTCATTACTCCAACGATATCCATATTCATACATAGCTTCGACTTCATCTATCACACAACCACCACAACACCCCACAGTCGACAAAATGCGGATCTCCAAAGGAAACCCGCAACTCCTCTCACTTCTCCTCCTCACCCTCTCCAATACCTCTCCAGTATCCGCAGGTCCTTTCCCTAAAGATGATATTCACGATCTTGGTTTCTCATACCTTATGGATCGCTCTTGCGTTTCCTACTGCGGAGCCGATAACCAATATTGTTGTACCGACGGCCAAGCCTGCTACACTTCATCGGGAAATGTAGCTTACTGTTCTGCCTCTGCTGCCGGCTCCGGTGGCTGGGCAGTCTACACAACCACCTACACCGAAACTGACTTATTAGTCGGAACAAGCACATACAGTTCCTACTACGCTACCACCACATCCGGAGGCAGCGCCGCCATCTGCGATACCACTACAGGCGAAACTTCCTGTGGAGCAATTTGCTGTGCCAGCAATCAGATGTGTGAATACAGTGGACAATGTACTGCTAGAACAAGTTTATGGTCCTACACTGCTACTTCTGGTACCTACTCTGCTCCTGTTCGTCCAACAGGTGCCGCAACATCTACTGCCACCGTCTCAGCCACAACTACCGAGCCCTTTATTCCTCCTGCTACTGCCAGCGGAAGCACCCTACCCATCACGAGCACTAGCTCGAACAATTTGAGCGGAGGAGCTATTGCTGGAATTGTCATTGGTACGATTATTGGAGTGATTCTCTTGCTCCTCTTGTGTTTCTGCTGTATTGTCAAGGGACTTTGGGATTCCGTTCTCGCTCTCTTCGGTGGTAAATCCCGCAGACGCGAAGGGGGTACTCGGACCGAGCGTATCGAGACTGTAGAGCGTTACCACAGACATGGATCTACAGCTGGAGGAGCAGCAATGGGAGGAGCAGCCGGAGCTCGTAGAGAAAATACTGGATGGCTTGGAGGTGCGCGAACGGATAAACCAACGAGGGTTGTAGAGACCAGGAAGAAGCAGAGTAGCGGGATGGGAGGAATGGGTGCTGTGGGTGCGGGATTGGTAGGGTTGGCGGCGGTGTTGGGATTGAGGAAGAAGGAGGCGGAGAGAAGGGATGAGAAGAGGAGACCGGGCCCTACGGCGACGGTCACAGATATCAGCAGTACTTACTATACTGATAGTTACACGGGAACGAGTGCTAGTAAGTAATCTTCTTGCCTTCTGCGCTTTGTTCGCGGGGTATGAGAAATGTGGAGAATGAAGACTAACATACAATTGCAGGTTCCGCGAGCTCGGATAGGAGAACGAGGGATACGAGGAGAGATAGAGATAGGAGCGTGAGGAGATAATTCTCATTTCCTATCTTATCTTTGATGATCTAGATCATCTCGATTTCTTTGAGGATCATCTTACCCATCCTCACATATCAAAAACAACACACAATCAAAACAGCACCAACAAAAAAAACATACACATGAATGAAAAACACGAATTTAAGAGATTCTCGAGATTTTTCCGGCAGGCATTAGCGATTTGATTCATTTCTCTGGCGTTATTTGATTTATTTTCTGTTTATAATTTTCCTTTTTTGCATTTCATTTCATTTCATTTCATTTCATGTCATTTCCTACTTCATTTCTATTCTTTTCTTTCACATCAAAAGAATGAGGAAGAGGAAGAGGAAGCAAAGATGAATATGCACGAGGAATGATGAACGAATGGATGAATGAATGGGTGGGTAGCTCGATTTACCTCGCAAACTTCAAATACCTAATGCTTGCTTGCTATATGTTACGAAAGCATGAAAGCGTTTATATCTATTTGAGCGAGTATGCGTGCGTGCATAGTATACACGAGATGAGATGAGATGAGGGTTGGGGTGCTTTTGTATTTTTACGACTTTTGTATGAAGGAGATATGAAATGAAACGAACTGGATGGGTGGGAAAGAGGAAAGGTTGGGTTAATGAATGTGTGATGAGCGAACGCATAACGGATTTGGGTATGGGATGATTGAATGAATGGATGTGTGTGAGAAGGGGGAGGATATACATACAATTACACATACTTACATACATACATGCGTGCACATACATTGAGGAAATGTATGTATACCGCAGATTTCACGAATGAAAATCATGTTACAAATTTACTCACCTAACATCTTCAACTTGCTTGAGTGAATTTCTGAAATACCTAGTATGCTGTATGTTCTCTTCCCTTCCCTTCAATTCCGTTTCCTACTGAACTCTATTCTTCTTTTATATGAGGACCAATATGCTGGATACTACATAGACAGATGTGATTCCACCATCACATGTAACGTAATGTATCGATACAAAATTGCAGACGCGGCGAAAAATAACGCGAGTGTTGAATCTATATTTGTTCAGAACTGTTCAATTCCTTTCTCTTTTCCCAATAGAATAATCATTATATACAAATTCTCCTCCCCATCTCATCTCATTCTTTCTCCCCAAGAGAGCTACTCAAATCCTGGTACCCTACCAATACGGTAGTCAACTCCTCGGTATCGATAGATATCTAGATACCTAGCTACCTAGATATACTTCTTGATTGTACTGCTTATGTATATATATGTCCTTTATTCCCATCCTCATCCCCAATCTCATCCTCATCCTCATTCTCATTCTCATTCCCTTCCTCACTCTCACTCTCACTCTCACTCTCACTCTCACTCTCACTCTCACTCTCACTCTCACTCTCACTCTCACTCTCACTCTCACTCTCACTCTCACTCTCACTCTCACTCTCACTCTCACTCTCACTCTCACTCTCACTCTCACTCTCACTCTCACTCTCACTCTCATCCGCATTCTCATCCTCGAATTCAATCATTTTGATTATTCGGGGACAAAATCCTTGATTCTCCTATGAGTTTAAATGTATTCCTCTTTCTAATTATATAAAGATATATACAAATAGTATCTTCTCAATCTTCTCAATCTTCTACCCTCTTCAAATCCATCAATTTTTGAATTCCTCAAAAAGTCTCCTCGAAAAGCTTTCCTCAAAAGACACAACAAAATATGTCAGAAAAGCAGAATCCAAAATCCAAAATCCAAAATCCACAATCCACAATCCACAAATCAGAAATCAGAAATCAGAAATCAGAAATCAGAAATCAGAAATCAGAAAATCAGAAAATCAGAGATCTATTTCCTATTATTCTATTCTTAAGTTGTGTTTTCGTCGTTTCGTTATTCCGCTCTATCTCTCTCTGTCTATGTCTATGTGTGTACAAATGTCTATATACATGTAATTATCAATATGTGTGTAAATATCTATACATATAAATATCTATATGCATTTGTGTGTAAGCACATCAAAGCAATAAGTACTCACTCATATAGATAAATATGGAAAGATTGATATCATCGTATTATCGCTCTTGTCCATTATCGATATTTAGCAGCTCTAAATAGAACAGGATAGAATAGAGTGGGATAGGATAGGAAATCTACTCAATTCTTAACCAGACAGAGAGAATAGGAGAGAGACGCAATCAAAAATAGGATCAAGATAATCTAATCAAATGAAACAACTAATCAGAAAGAAAAAGAAAACGAAAAGTAACTAAACGATAATATAATACAATACAGTATAAAACAAAACCAATCTTTACAACAGCACCGATTTTTCCAGTCTATATATATCCACGTACCCACCTACTACACATCTAGATATAAATACGCAAATATCAATAATCCCAAAGAAATTCATGCAATGTAACTTGTAACAGCAATAGCAATAGCAAGCAATCAATCCCATTACACTTTAAAACTAAACTCAATACATTCATTAACCATATAGGGGTGGCGGGGTTGTGATTTGATTTCTCGATTTCCTCCTTCTCTTCCTCTTTTACATTCACGTACACATCTCAGTGATTAAAATTTCTCAGTAAAGCATGAAACTTCGAACACTAGAGCAGATCAAAAATATCGCCACCTACGAGAAAGAGAAAGAGAAAAAGAAAGAAGGAAAGAATATAAAAGGACGATGCTGAACGATACTAATTTTGAGTTTTGTATATACATAGGTAGGTAGCATTTTATATATATCAACAGCTTGATAAACGAAAGGAATATATACGCAACAACAATTACAACAATAGTCATTTATATTACTTGGTAAGGACATCGAGTATCAATAGTGATGATTTTAATAGGTACTTGTCTATACCAATGAATAGTGTAGTGATGATGGACGACCTCGCGAGTGTACGAGTAGGTATGTATGGGATGCATATATTGCCAATAAGATGATAAGCAATGTGGTTTCACGGTGATTCATGATCGACTCAAACCATGAAGCCCGGAGAAAAGAGCTAGAAAGATTAATAAAGAATACAGGTTGTATAACATTGGAAACTTATTCATCAGTATCCTTTAAGAATAATTTAGAGGGTAGAAGCATGGGCAATGGATTGTTCAAACAAATTTATTAGATATTATTTGAATCATGTAATCCGCCAACTCTTCCTCTTACTTTACACCCACCAAGTCTTCATACCCCTCAACTATATACCGCCAACTCCCTACGATAACAGTTTTGTTTCATCGAAATGTCCACACGATCCTCAGAATTTCCTCCACACAAATCTGCAGAAAACATAAATAATGAAATCGTGCCTCTTCATCCATAAAGAACAAAGAGTGTTCATTGATATAGGGATCAAGACTGACCGAATAGAGTAGGAGAAATACTTCTATAAAGTCTACTTTTGAGATCCCATTTGCATAATAGAACACGAAGGGGGAAAATAATTTGGAGAAAAAGAGAAAACGACGGGAGTCATATGGCAATGTGAAAAGTATAAAACATAAACAATAGAAATGGTCATGGTATTGAGAATTGGAGAGAAGACATGGATTGGCAAAGGAGAGATTGTGTGAGAACAAGATGAGGAATGAATATGGTGAAGAGGGTAGATAGAGTGTGATGAAGGGTAATATAGCCGATGATCCTATTGGATTAGTAGGAATTGTTCGAATCCAGTAGCTGTGGTGCCTCTGTATGGGGATGTAAGTGAACTGAATAAATTGCTAAGCCTGCATATTGCACTGTCAGATATTCCATCAAATTCAAAAGCTCAGACCTGAAACATTATGCCATGACATTCGAAAGGGTCCATAATTGGTTCATTGATTCCTCAAAAACTCTCCCCAAATCGTTGCACTGGCACGCCCTTCTACCAAATTGTCCATCATTACAATCCAGGTCACCGTGGTATCGATCGTTTCAAATTTTGGAACCGCAGGTAGTTGTTTTGTTGCGCAAGATATTCATTCCGAGCACCTTGCTACACAATATGCAAAGTAATCCTTTTAATGCTCCCAATACATATCATGAATGTAAGAAAAGGTGACCACCACAATTGCCTTCCATTTATTCCTCGTCAATGTTACCCTTCTCTGAGACATACAAACCGTCCAAAAACTAATACTTTTGTTAGTATATAGAATGCTAACGAATAAGGATTTTTGCCCACCTTTCGGATATCCTTGTTTCGTACTCTGCAGATTTGTTGGATATCGGCGGCGCATTGGGAAACATCCTCAAGGGAGTTACCAGACAATTGAAGCTCATCCTTGACGTTCTTCGATGGCTCGACAGCAACACCTTCTCTCATTTGAACCTTACGGACGATCTTCTCGCCGATGAAGTTTCTATTCCCAAATAATCAGCAATTCTTTCTCCCAGCCTGAATTTCTTTCCTCGTGGACCGTCATACCTGATCTCAACAACTGGGATATCCTCAGGTCCCTTCTCAACGTTGACGTTAATTGGGAAATGTGCGTAGACATATCTCATCTTGTATTTGAAACCCTTGGTAACGCCGATGATCAAGTTGTTGATGAGAGTACGGACGGTTCGGAGAGTAGCGACGTTCTTGCGGGCTCCGTGGTGAAGCTCGATCTTGATGACATCCTTCTTTGGTTGAGAGAAGTTGACTGCCAAATGGCTAAGATCCTTGTGGAGTTTGCCTATTTCGAATGTATTAGATTTGCGACTTGGTTGATTGTCGATTGGTGTGTAGGAATTGTAAATTACCTCTTGGTCCCTCAACGGTAACTTGACGGGATTTGATGGCGACCTTGACTATTCAATTAAATCGATCAGCATTCATTCCTCATCTGCAAAAGAAATCCCATCCAGTATTCCTCAATGCGCTTCACCAATTCCCTCGAGCTTGAATTCAATCTTCTCCTCTGCCGATTTCAACGATCCAAAAATAAGAAACATCGTACTTACCACCCTCTGGAATGGTCAGAGTTTCTTCGGAATGAATGTACTTCATCTTGGCCGATTTGTCGAATGTCGTAAATGGCGAAAAGGTGTAAATTACTGGCCGTCGTCTAGGTAAGAAGTTCAAGATCGCGGAAAATCAAAATTGTTGTGGGAGACGCTAAAATTTCGCTAACGAAGGACCGAAAATGGCAAGAACTTTTCAAGGTCACGTGGATGGGAAATTTACACTTCAAATCGAGCTTTACAACCTCGCTCCATGCAAGGACTTCACATCAACAATGAAAACATTAACGAGACAGGCTCGGTGGGCAAATTTCAAGTAGGAACCTACCGTTAGGATCACATTAAAAAGGGCATCTCTATAGATCTCAGTTGCATCTCTCACGACTATTGTCCCGGACCAGAATTGGATATCATGGACTGCAGGACACATAGTATGAGTTAAGGACTACTAGGACAATGGATCTTACCATCAACTTACAAGCTCCATTGAAAGCATTCGAACTTTGTGATCGGTATTCCCATGGTATAATATTCTGGTCTACGATATGAGCGACCGAGCGTATCGTCAAGATATGATTCTTGCTCAGTCACATATCCTGCACTTATTTGCCAAAAGTATCATCTCTTTCCGACAGATCACAGAATATCTCGACAAAAACCACAATAACCATTCTTGTACACCCGCAGAGCATACACACTTATCCAAATACCTCTGTGGTTTTCCTATATCCTTGAAACTCACTCATTAGGGCCGCGCTCACGTGTGGTCCGTGTGAGTATAAAATATCACCTATCATAATTATTACTGTCAATAATCTTTCCATACAAAAATTGAGTGAATTCTTCGTAGCATGTTCGTATATCATATAAGAAACTTATTATACTTATAGAAAACACCACTTGAGGATGTCCAAATGTTTACCGGGGCGCTTGAAACATGCATATTCATTGGCTCATTGTTTCACCCCACGTCAGCCTCATCGCCCTTGCCTTCCCCGCCATTTCAACACCAGTTCTTTTTCTCAACATCTTCTGATACCATCTTTCCATAGAATACAACAATTCCAACGACAATTCTCTACAATGAATGCTCAGGAACTCGAACACTTCCTTGCGGACTCGCCCCCTAGTGTCGTTCAGCTTGAGATCAAAAAGCATTTTGAGGCGCTTTCTGACAAAGAAAAAAGATATGCTCATTATATTAGCAGGTATGTTTGAATTTCGGGAATTTGGAAATCTTCAGCCGCGTGCACATTCATCATGGATCGAAAGATTGTCTGGATGCTTGGCGTTAGCTCGGAGTTTGCGGATTGTTTGCAAGGACATCAGCTGACATTACGCGACAGAGCATCTGTTCATGGAACGCGTATTACTTTAAGACAAGTTTCCCCAGAGTCCGAAGACATCTACGATTTTATCGTTGAACTTCACAAGTCTTTTGATGGTACCTGGAGTTCCGCTCAGGAGAAAGCTGGGATTAGCGATGAAGACTTGAAATTCTTCCTCGAGTATTGTGGTCAAGTGAGTTTCATAATTCAACTTGACAGACAGGACAAAATTTAGAATGCTTGTCTAACCTTTCATAGTTTCTTGGTAATTGCGGAAACTACAAGTTTTTTGGAGATTCCAAGATCATCCCAAGATGTGACGAGAAAGTCTTTGAAGCTTTGGCTGCGCTTTCCCCTGAAGCAAAGCAACATTATGAAGCTACCAAAGGAGCTATCTTCCCAACTCAAGACCCTGGATTGATGCATCTTGGATTTCCTGATGATGGACATTTGACCAATTATTATCCCAATTCAACCAGCATCACCAAGTCGGATATCATTGCTGTAGGTGATTTCTTGGAGCAAAAGGGGTTACTTGTGGTAAGTAAAATGCATTTGTTGGCCTGCTCATATTGTTGACCCGTTAGATAGGAAAACACAAGATTGAGAAAGACTCCTGAAGGATCATTCGAAGTTTTGCTTGCTTCAGCCGTCACAAGTGTACCATCTGAAGGCAGCGATATTGGCAAGGAAACTCAGTTCACCATCGAGGAGGGCCCACTAAAGGGCAGTAAGCTGAAGATCGTTTTTGGTGATCATTCAAAAGAGTTGACTTTGGTTGCTGAGAATTGCAAGAAAGCCGCCGAGAATGCAGCAAATAATACACAGAAGGATATGTATGAAGCATATGCTAAATCGTTTGAAACCGGTTCATCGCAAGTCTTTAAGGACTCGCAAAGATATTGGATCAGAGATAAGGGGCCTTCGGTTGAATCTAACATTGGATTTATCGAGACTTTGAGAGATCCCCAGGGTGTGAGGGCCGAATTCCAGGGTATGTCCATCATATCTTCGAGTTTCGAGACAATAATACTGACGAATACTTTGATTAGGTTTTGCCGCTATGGTAAACGCTGAACGTACTCGTGCCTTTGGCGGTCTTGTTAATGCTGCTGAAAGCCTCATTCCCAAATTACCTTGGGGAACAGAATTCGAGAAAGATAAATTCTTGAGCCCAGATTTTACAAGTCTTGAAGTTTTGACATTTGCTGGAGCTGGAATTCCAGCAGGTATTAATATCGTAAGGAATCTTTAAGTGTATAGAAATCTTCAGCACTACTGACTAACATTACAGCCCAACTATGACGACATCAGACAAACCGAAGGGTTCAAAAATGTCTCATTAGGCAATGTATTGTCAGCTAAAGCACCCAACGAGAAAATCCCATTTATCAGAGATGAAGATCTCGAAGTATTTTCCAAATATCGTGATGCAGCATTCGAGGTACAAGTAGGAGTCCACGAGCTTCTCGGTCATGGAACCGGAAAATTACTCCAAGAAACCAAACCGGGAGTCTATAATTTCGACATCAAGAATCCTCCTGTCAATCCCCTTACTGGGAAACCAATTACTACATGGTATAAGCCCGGGCAAACATGGGGATCTGTATTTGGAAGTGTAGCCTCAAGTTATGAAGAGTGCAGAGCTGAGGCTATCGCCATGGCCCTCAGTTGTGATTTCGAGGTTCTGAAGATCTTCGGCTACGGTGATGGAACACCTGATATGAACAATGAAGCTGGGGATGTTTTGTATGCAGCCTGGTTATCTATGGCTAGAATGGGTGTTTGCTCTTTAGAAATCGTATGTGTCCTCCCTCCAAAACTCCTCGCGAAAGAAACAGCCAGGTACTAACACTATACAGTGGGATCCCCGCTCCACTAAATGGGGCCAAGCACATTCTCAAGCCCGCTTCTCCATTCTCCAATGTTTCCTCTCGGCTCCCGAATCCTTCTGCACCATAACCCATTCCACTCCCGATCTCTCAGACCTAACAATTAATCTCAAGCGTCACCTTATCCCTACAGTCGGTCGTCAAGCTGTAGAATCCTACCTTCAAAAATTACACATCTATAAATCTATCGCGGATGTAGAAACAGGTGTTGAGGTATACAACGACATGTGTTACGTGGAGCCAGAATATTGGGGAAAGAAAGTTAGAGATCAGGTGCTGAGGTGTAAACAACCCAGAAAGGTTTTTGTGCAGGCGAATACCGTATTGGGAGAGGATGGGAAGGTGGAGTTGAAGGAATATGAGGCGAGTTGCGAGGGAATGATTAGGAGTTTTGCGGAGAGAGATGTTTAAAGTTTTGGGGCTGAGGTGGTGGGAGGGATGGGGAAAGGGGAAATGAACGGAGAGTGAGGCATGGTACAATCTTGATGCATGGGTTTTACGCACATTCAGCAAGACCGAAATTGGGGTTTTGCGATGCTGGTGGAAACTATACCAAAAGCACTCCAGCTTCGCGTTAGCTGGATTGGGGATCTTTTGAATTCCAACAATATGAGTGCTAGCGCGTAGACTTTCATCACATGAATATGAAGTCAAATTATGAATGACCAAAGAGCACTCTGTGCGTGGTTTTCCGTATTGCGGGTGAAAAAGGCGGCTTGGCCTTACTTATCTTTACCCACTTTTTAGTAATTCCACAGAATGAACTGGATTGCACTCAGGCATTGCATCCCGCGACTTTCACATGGACACATGTCGGCTGGCTGATGTCGTCACAAAATCATCCTTTGAAATGCATGGCTACCACACTCCTATCCATACTCTTCACCTGCCAAAGATCGTCCTGAAATCACATATCTCACAATCATCCGCGTAAAAAAAGATATCATTGCTTTGTGGTTTTCTTCATCATTGCAAATCAGATTACATAGCGCCCTTCACAATGAGACGACCCATGCCCATTCAGAGGTCAAGATGCAAGAAGCGATTCGTCAAATCGACTGTAGAATTTTCCCACATCCGCGCCCAAATGTACCCATTCCCCCCAATCTCCACAACACATATTTAAAATACCATTGCGTGTGGCTTATCACCCTTGCGAAGGCTGAAAGAGCTACCGAGGTAGCTGGCGAGTTCTGGAGTCTTTTTGAGGCTGGAAAGGATGGCCTTATCGATGGTCTTTTGGTCTGCTGCGCGGCTGGAGGATGGTTGCTTCTTCTGTTGTAATTTGTTAAATTGGTGCAACTGTGACATATGTCCAGCATAAGATCTTACCTCTGGCTTCTCGCCTTGCTTGAAGAAAGCCTCTTCTGATGCCTTCTTCTCTGACTTCTCTCTAGCAAAGTACTTTGGGTTTGAGAGCTCCTCAATCTTTGCTGAGTCGATACCCTCCAAATCGACCTTGGTGGAGGTGGCGATAACGTAACGGGCGTTGACTCTGCGGATTGGGACACCGTTGACCTTGAATGGGCCGGTAACGAGGAGAACACCTTGGTCAAGTGCCTTCAAGAGAACGACACGCTTGCCACGGAAACGACCGGCGAGGAGGATCAGGACTTTTCCGGGTTCGAGGGATGGTCTAACTTTAGATGGTCTGATGGACTTGCGGACCTGGAGAATTGATTGTTAGTGATGAGGTTCTTTCAACCATAAATTAATGCCTTAAAATGTGATGCAGTGATATAATCTAATGGCGATCTGGTTGATATCAAAATCCAATATATGTCTGTCGATTGCAATTGTAATCGCAAAGTCTCATACATTTGAATCCCGCGCCTCTCCATTTTCCAAATTTGACGATATTTCAACCAACACTCTGCCATCTCTTTCAAAAAAAGGGTCCTCTTGTATTTACCTTTCTTGGAGCGGAGACATCCTCTGCCGGGTAGTACTTTTGTGCCTTCTCGTTGGAAACGACCCGGGTCGATTTTCCGAAGGTCTTCTTCTGGGTAGCTTCTGTTGCCGACATCTTGAAGAAGGAACCGTTGGTGGGTAGTTGTCGTAAATTTTGTCGCTGCTCGTTGGCGTAAAAGTCGAGATGTTCTTCCAATACAGAAATTCAAGCAGGGCTAAAACCTGCGACACTACACTTGGAATTTCAATTCGCTTAATGATTTGTGTATCATGTGATTGTGTGATTATCTAAGTTTGAAGAAATGATGCCTGCTCTTTCAGGCCAAGATATTGATAGTCTTTTTAGCGTCATAATTGGTAGACCCACCCGGACACTTTCATTGCGAAGCTCCGGCCGCCTAGAGCGAAGCTTCCCATACTTCATTACACATTAATAAAGCTATCCTGTTCAACAAGATACCTGTCACCAAACAGCTTATCAAAACCGACAAGATGTCTATTTCACCAATTATTACTTTCAAGGCGGGGAAGTGTGAAATCGATGTAAGTTTATTCACATCTTTCTGCGTTCAAATATCAAACTAACATCTCTACTTCAACCAGACATCAAGCACACCTCACAAAGTTAAGCCTGAAGCAACTCCAGGTTATATCTATCTTTGGTCCGAAGATGGTAGGTCATTTAGATACCCTGGGGATAGGATTTTGCTAACTGCTATGAAGATTTAATTCATTTTCAATGGCGAGAAAGAAGCAAACGTATGGATGATGAGGATAACATGGATTTACTTTTACCACCAACCGACGCCATTTTCCAACCTTATGATTCTAATCAAACCACTGAACCAACTGCAAAAACCAATGGCCGCATATTCGTTCTTAAATTTTCATCCTCTTCCCAAAGATATCTTTTCTGGATGCAATCAAAACCTCAAGCGCGAAATGGAGATGCAAGTTGGTTTAGTCCCAGGGACTTGAAGATTGGACAAATTGTAAATTCATTATTACAAGGAGACGAAGTCGATGTCGAGCAGGAAATCGCACAAGTCAGAGGGGATGATGGAGGAAATGACGACCAGGACGAAACGATGGAGGACGTCGAAGGTCATGGTGATTCGTCCGAACACCAAGGTGGAAGTGGAGGTGCTGGTGCTGGTGCAACTGGTGGAGATGTTAGGGAAGAAGGAGCTAGCTCAAGGGAGGCCGGAGCTGATGGTGGAAGAGCGTAGGTTAATTCTCATCCAATTTTTGCAAAGTACCCAAGCATTTACACACGAGGCGTTTGGTTGGTACATTGGAAGATTCAACAATAATCATACCGTATTGTTCTTGTACTTCTAGACAGCTATGTTGCACATGAATTCTAAAATTTACGAAACCATCTGTTTTAGCCTTCAAAAGAACCTGCGCTGACTATGTGAGTAGTGCTGGTTCAGGGCCATCAGATGCTGCCTCGGTTGTCCAAAACTTTCTCAATTCATTGAAGGGTCCTGGGGGAGCTGGCATGCAACAACAATCTCAAACTCAAATGTACACTACTTTACCGGACCTTTTACCAAATACGGTAACCATCCCATCGATCGACGCTGCAACCCCAGCTCAAGTGGATAATCTCCTTAGCTATCTTCCACCAACTATCCTACAGCTTGCACAGGAATCCGCATCTTCCCTCGAAGGAACAGCTGACGCAACTTCCGCGACTGCAAACACTGCTATGGAGGCTTTGAGCTTGGACCAAAAGAAGTCGGTATTGAAGAGGGTAGTTCGAAGTCCACAATTCCATCAGAGCTTAGGAAGTCTGACTATGGCGATTCGAGACGGCGGCTTGCCTAGTATTGCGGATGCGTTGGGAGTTGAGTTAAGGAATAATGGTTTAGTAAAGGGAGGAAGCGTTCCATTAGGAGGTGGCGAGGCAGTTGAGGCATTTGTCGAGGGTGTTAAGAAGTTGGTAGAGAAGAAATGAGCTACTTGATCATAGATCTTTGTTCCTCAGAGAGGTTTGTAAGATACAAGGGATAGATGTGATGGTCAGGTGGCCTAGAAGATGATACCAATTCATGATATGTTATGACCAAAAAACAGTTTGTATGAGTGAGTAATGCTGCTTGAGAAGATGCTAGGTCATGGTTGAAGATGAAACAATGATTCTTCGGTGTGTCCCCCATCAATTAAGCAAGTGCGTCAGCTAGCACTGTCGTTTTGATAGCTGGTGAAGAAATGCCATTGATCATGGTTTGCAGCCCGTCAAACACCGTCATACGTCAAACACCATCATACCGATGATTCAAGTGGATGTGCTTTATTTGTCTTCTGTCACAGTGCTCTTCTCACTTTTGTATACACCATTGCTCACAGGCACTGTCATTCCTATTTCTAACAATACTTTTCCTCTCTCTCTCTGGACACGTTAATAGCAATGTCTTGCACTTGTAACCATCCAGACTTTGATCGTCATCCATTCCAGTTCTGAGTTTAGCCTAAAGAATATTCTTGCGTCTATTCCAGTATTCAATGTTCTCACGAAGCCGCCTAGATCAGGGACTCTTGTAACATTCTCTAAACTACCATCATCTTCACTTGACCACTATGACATTATACTTCAACATTCCCCTTTAGTATTGTATTCATGAAGTTACCAGATCATGCAGATATTTAGTGCTACCGGTTGCTGTTTTGTAGATGGTCCTAATACTTTTTCTATAGTCATAAATATCTTTTATATGCCAGTTTTAGGGTCTTAGATACCAACATTCCCTGTTCTCTATTTCATCAATGTGTGTGATGATTTAATATTGATGTATAGAAGCTAGGCTTCGCACATTTTGTTATATCTAGTTGAAACTGACTAAATTATGATCCTAATCTTCTACCATCCTAATGAGATACCTTCTATTCTGTCGTTGAAGGACTGTCTGCAGAAAGTTCATGCTTCTCCTAGTCCTTCACTGGACTATTATAAAATTTAACCAGCCTATCCAAGGATTCAACATTCATACTTCTGACTCTTTATCATTCGAAAGGAGTCGTTTTTGTTCAATTATCAGAGGTCAGTCATGCTACCCATTTCTTTAATTAGTTTGGTGAATAGATACTCGTCTGTATGTCATTAGAGATTCAACTTCGGAGATGTAGAGGATTCCCCCTTATTATTAAGATAGATACCTATTTTTTATTTCTCATTTTCAAAAGGATGATAGTAGTTCCAAATTTCTTCCACCCCCCATAAAGATCCAGGCATTCACTATACCTTTCTTTATTACTTGTTCACCACTATCATCTAGAAAAGCTTCGAGTGAAGTTTATCATAGTGAATACAAAATCAATACAGGTCGGTAACATCCGAGGCCAAACAGGTTTTTTTATTGGTTTAGCGTCTCAAAGACCATTCTCGAGTTTTCTATCATTCTCCCACAACCATTATTTAAGAATTTGAAGTTCGAGATCAATTTTGTCCAATCTACATCCCAACCAATACAATTGATTTCACAACAACTTTTTCTCACCATCACATTTTGCCATACTCTATCCGACAATCTTTTGAATCAAATCAATCATCCTCAACTTTTCATCATGTCAGGCTCGGGTGATTCTTCTCCAATCAACCACCAAGGCTTACCTCAAGGTTTGGGAATTACTTCAAACCAAACCAGTGGTCGTGCTACACCTAGGGACTCCCTTGGTGGTCAGAATACAGTCTCTAGAGTCAACAATCCTAGAGTTAGAGCAGGTCCACAGATGCAGCAACAAGACGGCGTCAACAACCCCAGTTTCGGGGGAGGAAGCGCCCAGATGCAACAGCAGATGGGAATCAATATGCTGCATCAACATCGAATCGAACAACAGCAAGCTCAAAATTTACAAAGACAGTATCATCAAGAGGAGCAATATCGCGCCCAGCAACATTTACAACAGCAGCAGTTTGCGGCTCAACAACAAATGCAGCGAAATCAAGCACTGCAGCAACGAATGCAACAGCAGCATGTTGGCCAGTTGCAAACACTTCAACCAGTACACATGCTGCCAGATGATATTCCTAGCCCGAGCCCGACCGCGATGAGACTAAATGGTGGACAAATAGAACCTGCATTCCAACAACTTTTCGGCATGCCTCCCACACAATTCAACATGAAGAATGGAAGGCCAAATAACTTTGCTCCTGCCGCTCCAAACAACACACAACCCCGAGTCCCTGTTCAACAACCAGAGCAGCAAGAAGCAGAGGAGGAGGAGAACGCTTATGAAACCAACTGTCTCAATCTCAGCATCAGTTCCCCACTGACCATCACCGGCGATAACAACATAATCACTTTTCACCCTGCTCCTCAAGTCCAAAAAATCACAGATGCAATCCTCAAATCTCTACATTCCGCCTCTGAAGGATCACGCGGTATCCCAATGGGCGATGCTGATGGAGTTCCCAGGGCAATCAAAGTTGAGATTGACGCTGCTGTGACGATCAATGGAAAGCATAATATTCTAGGAGAGGAAGCCGTCAAGATCTGGGCACAAAAAGTCAAAGGTGACGCATTAGCGGCACAGACGCAGGCGCAGAGAATGTTGGCACAGGCCCATATCAAGTCTCAAGCTGCTGCGCAGGCTCAAGCTCAAGGACAGGGACAAGCACCGAAAAATGGAACAGCAAATATGGAGTCAACTGTGCAAAGAAATGCTCAGGCGGTCGAAAGTATTATCCGAGCTCGCGAACAAGCACTTGTGACTCAGAGACAGATACAGAATGAGACGGCCGCGCAGGGACAGAAATTTCCAAACCCACAGGAATCATTCCAGATGAATGGAGATGCGAATGAGAGTGTACGAGGACAAGTCCATCCACACTGGAGCATGCAAGCACAAGCTTCCATGCAACAACAACAACAACAACAACTACAACCAAAACCACAAGAAGGAAGAACAAAACCCCAAATGGGTGTTTTCCCAGCTGGTCCTTCGAAAGATTTTGGCAAGAGAGCTCGAGAGTCCAGCGTGAGTCAACATGACGAAGAGGCGAATAAGAAAACCAAGATGGATATGTAGATACTTGGTGGAGGGAAAGGATATGTATGAACGAACTTGTGCTAACATCAGTTGGTGAAGAGTTTGAGATGTTCATGAACTTTTTGTTTCGAGGTTACTACTGCATGCGTAGAATTTGATGATGATGTGGGGTGGTTGGATATGGGGATTGTTGGTTGAGAATGGGGCTGTGGGTAGGATTAGTTTGGGGTTTTCTGCGAAGATTGGGTTATTAATTGTAATGACAGGATGGGAGTTGGAAGTTTGCTTTTATTAGAATGCTCCCTCTGGCTCCTCGCTCCGGGTTCATCAGGGGTTGATCGTTATTTCATGTCATCACAAAAAGAGATCAATGTAAATAATAAAAGCAGCAGTTATGACAAGAGGTGTATATAATGGTTCTCTTCGAGATAGTATACTACTCACTAATAAGAATGTTTAATAAAGATAGTGCAAGAATTTCATTCACAACATCTGTCTAATAAAAACTTTCATACACATATTCTTGATCAAACTTCATTAATTGGCCTCAGCTCTCTATTGTACAAAAGTATCTTCTCGAAAGTCATTGCTCTATGAAACCGACTTTTCCATCCTTAATCAAACACTTGTCAATGTGCACACCAGAAGTAAATCATTTGTGATCCATATTACCACATCGCTGCGTGATATAAAGCCCCCTGTCTCAGACTCCTAGCAAAAAGCTTCCCAAAATTCATGAAGATCAAAGTAGAAATTTCTCGTATGATGATTGAAAGAACAGACTGGAGATATCGTTATCTGTAATCACTTGAGCGGATGTCTTGTTTGTGAAGATCCTTCGCCCATCGAGGTAGCTTGCGGTCTTTCTCGAATAGGAAGCCACAATTATTACAAAGAGTCTGAGAAGTATTAGTGATAAAAATCATGATCAAGACATAAAAATGACTTACCCTTGGTCCGAACGGCCCATCCCTCACACACCAAACCGATGTTCCCCAGACTTTACAATGTGAGCATCTCCAACTATTCCGTTCAAATTCGGTAAGACTACCACCTCCACCAAACCCAGTAATGCCGCCAGTATCAGGAGTTCCTCTTCCACCGGGTGTTCCAGATCTCCCCAATGGACTAAGACTTCTGAAGCGTCTCTTCTTCTTACTTCTCTCACCGCGACCCATACGTTCTTCCGCAGGTGGCTCATCAAAGTATCCTCTGTTCTCACCTGGTGTTGGAAGACCACCGGCCATCCCGGAATTCGAAGAGAATCTAGCAGTTTCTCTTCTCATCCGCCTAATTTGTCTTTCTCTATCACCTTCTCGCTTCTCAATTTCCTCCTTTGACAAGATCTCAACCTTGGGTTCCCACTCATCTGCTAGGTGTTCATTATCATATCTCCATCCGGCATCCTTACCATGCACAGCATCATTGGGTATTTCTCCCCCATAACCGCCAACCAAACCACCACTTTCACATGCCTCCTTTTTCAATCTCAAAACTGCTTCGTAAATCGCATGTGTCATGGCTGGGACCCATTCACCAGGTAAACCAAGATCTGCGCAGGTTTGTTTTGCGAATATTTCAGCCGTTCCTGGAGGATGTAGTAATGACCATTCAAACCTGTCTGTGTAGAGATGATTGGAGAGATTGATATTCAGATTAATGATGCACCGGTACATATCATCGGGATTATATTCATCGGATTCTGGTGGTATCGAGGTTGCAGTGGCGGTGATATCTTGCGACTGTGAAGTGGGAGCTTTAGCAGGAGTCGAATAGCCATTAGATTGGCCAATGACATTTCGCATGGGAGTCGCATTCCCACTTGCTGCAGGTGTACTTGAAGCATCTCGAGACGATGGCCCTTGTTTGATGGTGGTCACAGTACCGTTCGCCGTTGCAGTCTGTTGCGAATGAAAGAGTGGATGCAGAGCCACACCTGCGTATTCTTCAAGCTGTGTACGGATTTGCTTACTGATTTCGGCTGCCATTTGTCCTCTGTTCGGTAAGTCCAGATCTTGTACCATGGTTTGCGCGAATTGATCGGTGGTCGTCAATGTCTCATGTAAATTCCACAGAAATACATCCTTTAGGCGATATGGGACTGTGGTTTCTTGTGGTTTGTATGCCGGTAGGGAAGTATCAATCGAAGGGTAAGATACTTGAATATTTACAGGCACAGGTAAAGGCGCAGGGGGTGTGAAGGAAGGGATATCAAGGTCGATTCGAATCGGGATTAACGTCAAAGGTAATGCGATTTGTGCATAATTTTGCATGTCGGTTTTTCCTGGCCGTTGCTTGCCCATCCAATCTCTCCAAATACCTTGAATTTCCACTGGCGCAGTAGCTTCTTTGCCAACCTTTTCTGCGGGGTCTTGTTTTGCCTGTCCAATATCTTCCCTTCGTAAACTCCTTAAGCCTGTAGGCCTCCTCTTGTTTTCATCATCGTCATCCTCCTCGAATTCATATCCATCCTCTGCATAATTTATTGCCGTGGTTCCTCTTTTCGTTGTTCTACCGAGTGGTGTCGCGACAGCTGCTGTTGGCTGTATGACTGGGGTAAGCAACGAATTGGCATATGTGCGCAATCGCGGAGCATAACTCGAAATGAAAGATTGAGGGGGATTGCGAGTCGTCATCTTGATGTGGAATTATCGAATAGAGCAAGTACTAATTCAATCAATCGTTCCTTGGACCTTGCGAAAGAATGATACGAATTTTGAAAACAGCTCAAAAGCGTCTCAAAACAGACTGTTCATTTAGGCGATCATAACCATAGGAATTGCGCAGTCTCGAAGTATTATATGGTGATTTCGACAGATCGTTGACTATGTAGTATATTTCAAAACGCGTCGCGAGAATATCCCATTGTCAGTTTGGAACCACAAGCACTTTGGACTGAGAGATCCGGCTAGTCCCGACTCGGTTAGCATCCAAGCTCAACACCAATTCACCTCATCCATTTTTATATTCTTGGATCTAATTGCTATTTGAGTGTCAATTTATGAGAAACGGTACTTTAATATTTTATACATCCCGAATCTGTTGGAAGGCAATGAATGCTTAGCATATATCTATCCTGCCTATTTGAAGAGCCGAAATTTACCATAAACTTGGTCGTGTTGCGTCGTGAAAGTCATCCCAAGCACCAATGGAAGGCTACAGCATTTGATCATGGCCGATACCATGAGGATATTAAGCATCTTATTGAGATTGCCAGGCATATGAATGTTATTGTTTGTAAATGTCTTTGCATTTGACTCAACTTATCTACCTCATTGCTAATTGTCGTCTTTACCGGATCAACTTTTTCATCAAAACCTCACGTCACCCCTTATTCAACCCGATTCTATTATCAAACATTCATCATCCTCACTCGACAAGGATAATGGGCACTCGGGTGTGCCGCAGTTTCTTCAATTTGATATGCTCTCTCTCCTCTATGAGTTTGTGGGCCTTCCTTCTTATGAGACCTGTCCCATTCTTCATATGCATCCTCAAACACAAATTCTCGTACAGTACAGGCCAACAAAACCCTCAACTCCATCATGACTAATCCCTGGGCAATGCAGTTTCTTGGGCCATATTCAAACGGTCTCCATGCACCTTTCACAGGGTATAGCTCATGACCTGGCTCTACCAGCCATCGTTCTGGAAGAAATTCTTCAGGCCTAACCCAGTACTTCGGCGCGCGGTGCATGCCTACATGATCAATGAAGCAGACTGCGTGGTTAGTAGGACATGCATTGCCCTGATAATCATAAAGAGTAACACCTGGATATCCTTGTCTGGAACTTGACGCGGCGGGGAAAAGTCGAAGCGTTTTCTTGATGACAGCTGTTGTATAGGGCAAATCATTTGCGAGATATGGTTTGGTTTTCAAAAGTTCGCTTGCTCCATTGGTCTATTTTCCAAAGACAAGATCATGTTCTTCTCTGACTTTTTGTATCGCATCGCCATTTTTAGAGAGTAAATGGTAGATATAGCAGATTGTGCAACTGAGTGAGTCATGACCCGAGAAAACAAACAAGCGTATTTGCCTAATCGCGAATGCCTTGAAATCAGGGTCTAGCTTTAGGCTTGACATCGGCGTCGGGGGCGATTTCTACTTGTAAGATGAGATCGATAATAGCTTTGCTACGTGAATCCTTGGAGTCGGCCTTGTATTCCGCATATCTCCTATCTAGCTCTGCACTGATATATGCATCCATCTTTCTTCCGTTAGACCATTCCATGTACCATCGTGCTACGTTTATGCGGCTGAAGGGTTGATAGCAGCAGCAGGCTCATGCCAGCGAATTTGGCTGATCATAGAGTCTGCAAGAACATTGTACCCGCGTTGAGCATGAGATTCAGTGTTCCTAATCAGTTTAGCCTCGCTCGGTAATACGATGAAAGGGAAAGAGATATACATAATCATCTTGCCAATCAGACCCATAGTGAAGCGCAGAGTCGTGGTATCCAGATAGAACATATCGCCCTATTTGGCGTGCTCTCTATCACAATATCAAATAATTAGCAATTTAGATCCAGGGAAGGGTAGAAAGTCGAAAGATTGCATCAAAGAACACAAAGCATTCAGCGAGCCAAACAAATAGAGGCATACATCGGATAACAATGAGAAAAGGAATCAATGATATACCTTGAAATATCCTTATAAACTTCGATCTGCTTGACCATCCCCGGGACCAGCTTCTGGAAATGTTCATTATTAAACGCCTTATTGAATACAGCGCGCCACGGTCTCCATGACTCTTCGGGCATATCAAAAAGGTAGGGGCCTCCTGCAATTGGCTTGAAAAAGCGCGGCAAAAGGTCAACTTTTCGAGCGGTGATTAGAGTATTGGTCTGCGTTACAGAGATGGCAGTCGTCGGAGAGTGGATGCACATGAAGAGTCCAGTCATGAGCCAGAGATCCAGATAATATACACCGGTAGACTCAAAATAGTCGCGGTAGATCTCGCCGAACATATATTGGTAGTGATCATCTTTTGGAAGGCGCCTGGACATCTTCCCAAGCAGGAGAAGGTGGCCAAACAAGAAGAAATGTCCAGGTGCCACAGGCTGCAAAGTTTCTCAGTTGGCGTTCATAAAGAAGGATTAAAAAACTGACGCAGCCTTGCTTCTGAGGGTTTATCATGAGCATCCGCGCTGTGTAGAGTCGTGTGAGAAAGTAGCCCAGGAGAGTTACCCCTACGACTGAGGTAGCCGTAAATACTGGCTTGGTCTGGAAATATCATGATGGCGTGAACAATTAAATTGTTGAAGATTGACTGTTCATATGCTTGTTTGTTGTTTGTGAAGATTTGATTCTATAAATGTCGAGATATCAAATGATGATACGCCGAACCAAGAATTCAATACCACCTCAACGCCACATGATACAACGCACAAGTAGTGAGATTGGTAGATACCTAGGTAGGCCCCAGTATGCTAAAAAGGCTTTAAAGGGGCGCAGCAATGAAGTGAGCGGCCGAGTGAATTTTTTGGTGCTGTGGATAGGTATTTCATTCTTGACAATGATGGCGAGTTACCAATCACCAACTGCTACAAAATTTAGCGATTTGAGATTGGATCACCTACGGAGGTAGGCAAAATACAAATGCAATTTCGAAATGCATGGAAACCCATTTGAAAAGCAACACTTTCACATCATCTGTTTGTCATGGAGGGGTAATAAGTCTATTGAGGTATTATAAAATTACCCCAGAGGCCCGTGCCCTATAAATTCGCCTATCAGCATCGATCGACAGGGGGCGTAACTACTTACCTTGATCAGCTACCACTTCTTCGGTTGCCAATTCAACTGATGCCACTTCCGCACTGTCCGCTGGGGCAGAAAATCAGCAACTCCAATCTAGACTTCAGGCTGGTGGGGCCATTCTTGCCATTCTGGTGTCGAATCTCCTTTGAAAGGGGAGCAAAAACACAGCAAGCATACACGCGATATGAAGTTAGGGGTTAATCCCAGAACATAGCTCAGAGTCATAAGAGAACTCGTTACATCTGCTATTTTCACTAATTATGGCACAATCAATTACGTCGCAAAATTGAGCATCTACTTTATGTGAGCTATCTGTTCTATACCCTACTTTGACATTTTTAGTTTCAAATAAAGAGTGATATCGGCCTATGAGGATAATGGTTTTGAACAAAGATTATTAGAATATACATGGAAATTTTTGAACATAAGCATAAATACTCGACATTCACACAAAGACTTTCGGTTATCAACATGCAAACATAGCGGTTGGATCCATGGACTTCGTTTTTCTCTAGCAAGAGCCAACTCATGTACATTGATTTCACCAACTACCTGTCAAAATCGAAGACTGCTATCCACCAACGCGACTCCCGGAATTTAAGTGTCCTCATCATGGCATCCCCAATGAGCACCACAGAACGGCAATATAGCTGAGTAAATCACTTCAACCCAAAGCCATGGAACACATTATGCTGATTTGTGCTGATACTAAAACTGAGCTGAACATCCAATTCTTCCCTCGCAAAATCTAGGTTGCTTGCTGATTGTTGAAAAGTCGAGCTAGTTACTACGATTATGCGTTCGAAGTTCGCCGCTGATCGGTGTTGAACGTTAGGATACCCATTTAGCACTCGAGTGTGACACTTACAATTATTCCTTATTGAAGTAGAAATACCTCATTCTTTGACTGAAAAATGAGCATAAAATTCTTCCTCGTCATAACCATCAATGTCTTCATTCCTGACTTCCACGAAATCTTTGGGGATGAGGAAATATGTCACCATTTGAGAAAGAAGAAATGGTAGGGCGAAAAATCCAAAAAGTGCCAGGACTCTGACAAGCATGACTATGTATCCTCCAATATTCTGTTTCTGGAGAGCGAGATAACTGATAAGGTCAAATCCGACTGACATTGATGCATTAAACTTATGCGAGGCTAAAGTGTCTGTTGCTGTTACTACGACTGAAAGACATTAGTAACCATGTTTTATAATGATTATCAAGTCCGAGAGTCGTAGAGAATTAGCGAGTTCCGTGTAGCGAGCTCTTTCTGTATGCCTCCAGGTTATAAGATGCGAATAAGACTTGGGGCTCACATCACAAACCTTTCTTTATTGTTTTTGAACGAAATCTAAGATACTGATAGCTCGTATTAAACTGACTATATTGGATCGGACTCGCTAATAAGGCGAGGCGCGCCTGTAATTATGTTTGCTTTTTCCCTCCAAGGTGGAACTATAGTCCGAGCTCAAAAGATTCTGGTCTGTAATGAAAAATAATTGGTCTGAAAGTATCGACTTTAGAGTATTTATGAGGCGTAGTACAAAAAATGATGACGATTTGTACGTCTCGTTATAGGTTGAAGCGGCCATGGTCTGCACCGACGGGCCCATGCTCGTGATACTGCCGTACAACACTGCTTAATATGCCTTCTCTATTATAAATGGGGGAAAGTTATCTTATTACGCCTTTGTAATAACATTCATTAGTTGATATTACCTTAGTGGAGTTGTACGTAACTAGTATATAATGTATATATCGTATAGGAACTATATAAGCGAAGTTATATCGTATAAGAGAGCTTATATAATATAAACCTTCTCATTATTTTTATATTTATTTAGTGAATATGTATTGTATATATACTATTGTTGAAGGTAATTTTCCAGAATATATGTTACGGGAGCTGCCTCTAGGGTCACGTGGAAGTGGCTAGAGATCTCTCGAGGTGGTTTAGACTAGACTTCAAGTAGGAATTCAATAAGGTTGTAACTGGTTGCAATTCTCGTAACTATAGTAATGAAACTAATGATTGTTCTTGAGCACGAAGCTCTACATTGTAATGAAACCCATTCCCTTATATAGACCTTCGTTCTCTGTGCTCAGTCGGATCACAAATGATCCCTCTGATCCGATCAACTGGATCACTAATGATCCCTCTGATCCGGTTACCTAAGCGTCGGGGTCACATGACGTCTATTGTGGCAGACCATCGTAACACTATCCCCTTCCTAGCTTAGCGCTTGTCCCCAAGCGTTACTTATAGTGTTTACCCCACTTCTTGTAATAATGTAATGACTGATTTCTTTCTTTCATAATGCCTGTTGTTAGGACTCCCAAATCAACTGAAAATCGTGCTTGCTTGTATACCAAATTCAAAGAAAGAGGTTTTATTATGGATGATCCTTGTGCTCGTTGTTCTTCCCGCAAACTTGAATGTCGTGTTTTGTCAGAGTCTCGTCGTTGTGGTGAGTGTGTTAAAGCTGGTCTGAAGTGTGACCTTCTTCCTCCCACTGTCTCGGATTGGGATGCTTTGGAGCGCGAGGAACAACGTCTGGAAACGGAGCGCCGTGCTACTCTTTCTAAATTGATTCGCCTCGACACTCAGCAACGATCCCTTCGTGACCGTGCTGGTGCCATGTTGCGTCGTGGTCTGAAAACCTTGGATGAGCTGGATGCAGCTGAGGAAAAGGATAGGTTGGAAAATGAACGTGTTGAAAAGGAGCGGGAACAAGCATCTGTTTCGACTGCTGATCCTAGCGACGACTCCTTTGCTTTCGATTCTTCTTCTTTGGATCCTTCGATCCTTGCCTCAATGGATTCTCCTTCTTTCTGGGCAAATCCGGGTATTGCTGGTGGAACGCCTCCAACTTCCCAGGGCAGTTGAGGTTTGTTCTTGGTTCCCATGAATTCTCGGTATGTGGATAATCTAACCATTTGATTAAATACTTGATTGTGCCTCTGACGTACTTGCAATCTAGTATTGTTTCGACATCGTATATGGCGTTCGGGTTAACTGGTTCGATTTCCGTAAATGGCGCACTTGGCGCTCCTGGTGGTGCTGGTTCGAGTAAGGATATGTGAAACACTGGGTGAATATTCATCGTGTCTGGTAGTTTCAACCGATAATTAACGGCTCCTATTACCTTATCAATCTTGAATGGTCCTAGTTTTCTGTGATCTAGTTTATTGCTTGGTCTTTTGGTTTCGATGTTTCGTCGTAGCAGATAAACTTTATCCCCCTCTTTAAGCGTAGGTTCCATACTACGTTTCGTATTGTAGTAGGCTGCTGTTATGGATGATATAAATCTTAGATCAAGAGCAAGCTGCTCTTGTAAATCCTTTAATTGTTCGACTTGTATTATTGCTGATTCGGCATTAACCTCCTGTGGTATCGGTGTTTGGTATGCTTTAGGATTGAACCCAAAGTTAGCGCGTGCTGGTGTAATCTTTGTGGTTTCCGTTTCCGATGTGTTATATGCGAATTGTGCCATAGGTAATAGTTCTACCCAATTGTCCTGTCGGTAATTTACGTAGCATCTAAGATATGCTTCCATTGTCTGATTGGTCCTCTCTGTTTGACCATCTGTTTGTGGGTGGAAAGATGTCGATAGCTTTCTCTTGATACCCATAAGTGCTAGCAAGGTAGTCCAGAATTTCGAGGTAAAGAGCTTGTCTCGATCCGAGATTATCTCATCTGGTACTCCGTGTATGCTTACTATGCCCCTTAGGAACACATATGCTAGTTGCTCAGCATCCCATGTTTCCTTGAATGGTATCATGTATGCAAATTTTGTCAATCTGTCTACTACATTGAGTATTGCGTCGTACTCAATTCCTGTAGTAGGGTCTTTCGAGAGTGGTAGTTTAACCACAAAGTCCCATGTAATGGACTTCCATGGCTGAGAAGGCATGTCTGGGGTCTGGAGCTGACCATACGGAGCATGTCGTGATGACTTGTTTCGTATGCAGGTGTCGCAACTTCCAACAACTTCTTCAACTATCGTTCTCATTCGTGGGAAGTAACTGATTTCCCGGATTCTTGCAAATGTCCTTGCAATTCCTTGATGTCCGTGTGCCGGCAACCCATGTTGTTCCGTCACAAATTCCTTAGTCATTTGACTCGGAATGTATACTTTCCCATGAAAGTATATGGTTTCGTTTTCTATTGTGAATCCTGGTTCTATTGCTTTGCGTATGCGTGTAGCTGTAGCATCCTTGTCGTAATGTGATTGGATTTGGTTTCTGAGATGGTTGTCTTCCAATATATGAGTAGCTGCAAGCTGTGGTGCATTGTAAACCAGTGATTCGCCTTCTTTCTTGAATATTGCGTATGATTCGTACGACTTATTCTCTTGGTATTCTGGTTTTCGGCTGAGAGCGTCGGCTCTAGCGTTTTCTGATCCTTTAACATATGAAATCTTGAAATTGTAATTGGCCATGGTCTCCGACCATCTGACCTGTCGTCTGTTTAACTGCTTCGTTGTGGTGAAGTAAACCAAGTTCTTATGATCCGTATACACCTGTACTGTGTATTTTGATCCTTCCAAATATACTCGCCATTCTCTAAATGCGTCGACTATCGCCAGTAATTCTTTGTCATATATTTCGTAGTTCAATTCGGCTGGTGATAGTTTTCGAGAGTAGAATGCGATTGGTTGCTATTTCTCATTTTGACCTGGTTGGCTCAGAACTGCCCCTATAGCGAAATCTGAGGAGTCCGTCTCCACTATGATTTGCTTATCAGGGTCGAATGTCAACAGTATTGGCTCCTCGGCCACTGCCTGTTTGAGCGTTTCGAAGGACTCCTGCGCCTTGGCGGTCCATTCAAAGCTTCCTTGATCTTTTATGGTTAACGTGGTCAAGGGTGTAGTAATCCCTGAATAACCCTTGATGAATCTTCTATAGAAGTTGACGAATCCTAGAAAGGATTGTACTTCCTTGATTGTGGTCGGCTGCTTCCATTCGAGCACTGCCTTAACCTTGTCTTTGCTCATCTTGAGCCCTTGGCTTGACACGGTGAATCCTAGGAACTCTGTTTCCGTAACATGGAATTCACATTTGCTTGGTTTACATAGCAAATCGGCTTTGGTTAAACTTTCAAGAATGTTGCTGACATCTTTGATGTGTTGGACCTCGTTGTTTGAATATACTAGGATATCGTCCAAGTAGCATATACAACAAGTGTCCAAGTACTGTAACAACACATTGTTCATAAGTCTCATGAAAGTAGCTGGTGCATTAGTTAGCCCGAAGGGCATAACTTGATATTCGTATAGCCCGTATCTTGTCTTAAAAGCGGTTTTCCATTCCTCGCCTTTCTTCATTCTAATCAAGTGGTACCCGTTTCGTAGGTCCATCTTGGTAAATATTGTAGCTCCGCCTAATCGATCTCTTAATTCCGTAGCTAATGGAAGTGGATATCGATCCTTCTTGGTAAGCGTGTTGAGCTTTCTGTAGTCCACAACTAGTCTCTTAGTACCATCCTTCTTGGGTACCCACATAGTTGGACTTGCCACTTGGGACGTGGATTCCCTGATCCATCCCTTGGCCAAATTGTCATCGATATATTCCCTGAGCGTCTTCAGCTCATCGGCTGACATTGAATAAATTGGGGTGTGCACAGGCATCTTGCCTTCCTCCAATATTATCTCATGATCCCATGGCTTGTGTTCTGGCAAAGCCTCATGGATCCCTGGTTCCTTGAACACATGTTCGTATTTCTTGTACTGTTCTGGTATCATAGGCTCTTCTGCCTTGATTGCGATTTCCTGCCGTGTCGTTGGCTTCTGCATTTGTAGAGGAGGTGTACTGGCCTTCGCTCTTAATGGAGGACCCTGGACTGGGTGTCCTACGTCGCCGGTGTTGTTCGCGTTCAACTCTCCTTGGCGCGTGTTACGTCTCGCGGACGCCTTGAACGTGTCGTCGTGACCGTTCTTGCACTGATCAAATGTCACTGTCTCTTGTGACCAATCTATCTTAGGATTGTGTGCCTTCAACCATGGCATCCCTAAGATGATCTGTTGTTGGCCCAATGGCACAACGTCAAGCTGTATAACCTCTGAATGTTGGGTTATGTTCATTTGTACTGGTCGTGTCTCCTGTGAAACATTCCCGTCAGATCCTGCTAGTT